TAAATACGGCCTCAGACACATAATATTTCCTAGCTGTGTGACTCTGGGCAAATCACTTAACCCCAATTGCCTCACAAAAAGAAAAGAAAAAAAAAGAGAGGTATTTTTGGGGCAGCTAGGTGGCCCAGTGGATAGAGCTCCAACCTTGGAGTCAGGAGGACTTGAGTCCAAATCTGGCCTCAGGACACTTGATACTTATTAGCTGTGTGACCCTGGGCAAATCACTTAACCCCATTATCTAGCAAAAAAAAAAAAGAATAATCGGAATTCTTTAGCTAAGGAGGTGTGCTATAATGGAAAGAACATTGTACTATGATATATATAGAAATGCCCATTTTATTTTTTTTAATTGTCAAGTTTTGTTTTTGGGGTTTTTTTTGGCAAGGCAATAGGTGAAGTGACTTGCCCAGGGTCACACAGCTAGTAAGTGTCAAGTGTCTAAGGCTAGATTTGAACTTAGGTCTTCCTGAATCCAGGACCGGTGCTCTATCCACTGTGCCATCTAGCTGCCCCTAAGTTTTATTTTTGTCATAATTGTCAAGTTCAGAATACAAATAATCTGGAAAGCTGGGTTCAAGCCTGAGTTTATTTGCAAACTTATTATCTGTGTAACCTTGGACACACCAACACTTTCTCTGAGACTCGATTTCCTCATCCCTAAACCCTCATCTCCTTGCCTTTGCTTTAATGTACCCCTTCATTCCCTCTGCATCTTAGAATCCATAGTTTCCTTCAAAGCTAATTTCAAATACTCTTCTCCCACATGAAATTCTTTCTGATGCCTCCTAGCTTCTTAGTATCTCCACACAACCACCCTAAAATTAACTTGTATGTATTATGTATGTCCTTGTGTGTATATATGTTGTTTCCTGTCATAGAGTGTAAGCTCCATGAGGAAATGGGCTGTTTATTTTTTGTCTCTGTATACCCAGTGTCTGGCACATAGTAGGCTCTTAAAATGCTTATCAAGTTATTGATTGCAGTGGATAGAGCACTGGCCCTGGAGTCAGGAGTATCTAAGTTCAAATCCGGCCTCAGACCAAACACTTGATACTTACTAGCTGTGTGACCCTGGGCAAGTCACTTAACCCCAATTGCCTAAAAAACAAAAACAAACAAAAAAAGTTACTAATTAAAATCAGATGATAATACATGTACTGTGATCTTCACAGGATCATCATAAGGAAAATATTTTGTAAACTCTAAAGCTCTATAAAAACGTGAGTTATCATTATAAAAAGTTACTTATTAAAGTTCCCTTGAAACCTATTTTGGGAAATATACAGAAAACATTATATTCTAGAAGATGGTATCTATTGAAGTTAAATATGACAGGAGGTATGAAAGCAGAGGACTACATGTTACAGCAAGGTATGAGCACTGTCCTGGGCCACCAGGCTATAATGGAAAGAGCAGAAATTGGTGTTGGGATTGGGTCCCAGCTGTCACCTACTGTGCGACTTCAGTTTTCACTTTGGGAAGATGAAGGAATTGGGTTAGACCATTCCCATGGACCTTTTGGGCCGACACACCAACAGCTTTGTCAATTTCATACAGTACAGCAATAGACTTGGGGGGAAGGAAAGAATGGACCTGTGGGTGAGCACTCTTAATGAAGAAAAACCACCACCAGTGCTTACTGACACTCTTTTTGCAGATTATAGCCTTAATTACCAGGACACTGAGAGGTTAAGTGATTTGTCCAGGGTCACACTGCCAGGATATGTGTCAGAGATGGGTCTTGAACTTCAATCTTCCTCCCTCCAAGACCACCAATATCTATTCACTACTCCATAAAGCTTTTTTAATTTTGTGTGTGTTTGTCTAAGACAATGTAACTGCAGATAAGAGAATTACAGTTTCCTTGGTACAATATGTTTCTCTTCTATGCTGTACATGGAAATGCACATTTTATTTGGTTTTTGTTATGTTCAGAATAAAAATAAACAAATTATGGCCCTTAGGGAAAATCTAATCAAATAAAAACAATACAGCCATTATTATAAGCCTTCACAAGGGAACTGCATCCCTCAGTAGAAGGGTAAACCAGTGTATATCATTTAAGTATATCTGACATAGGAAAACCTAGACTCAGATAAAAAATAAATTTTATTTTATTTTATTTTTAGGCTTTATATATTTTTATTTTTTTCACTAAATATTTCCTAATTACATATAAAATTTTTAAATTCATTTTTAAACATTTTGAGTTCTAAATTTTCTCCCTCCCTTCTATCCCTACCGCTTTCTTGAGAAGACAAGCATTTTGATATTGATTACATATGTAACATCATGCAAAATTTATTTCCATATTGGGCATATTGCACAAGAAAACACAGACCAAAAAAATAGAGAAAGTTAAAAAAAAAGTTTGCTTTAATCTGCATTCCAAGTTCATCATTTCTTTCTCTGGACACAAATAGGATTTTTCATCACAGGTCCTTTGGAATGGTTTTCAATCATTATCTTGATTAAAGTAGCCAAGTCTTTCACAGTTGATCATCCTTACAATATTGCTGTTACTGTGGAAAATAATAATTAAAATAAATTTTAATTAGTTAATAATAAAATCATTGATAAGTATATAGATTGCTCAGGAAATAATGATTGATAAATTGATTCAGCCTACAAAAGAAGTGTTCTCCTTACCAAAAGATTCCTTTAAATAGCAAGTTTGCCTAGTGCGTCTAAGACCAAACCCAATAAGGATGAAGGATCTCGCCATCTGTTTGAGAAAAGGAAATTGAAGCTGCCTAACCCTTCTGTCTGTGCAAACATTCTGGGCACAGAGGTTTCAGCTTCTGAGCTCATGAAAGCAATTAGATCCCCTCCTGAGTTCTGCAAGGGGCTTAGGTCACTGCTGAGGCTTCCCGGGTAAAGTCAACTCCACTCTTGAAGCTGGTGGAGCCAACAACTAAAGCTTGTTTATGGCAGAAATAAAAACCTGCCTTGTGGTCTCAAACTGTTTGATGCCAGGCTTTCTCACTATGTAGTTGTGAAGTTCCAAGGGACATGATCTGACTTACGTTAAAAACCCTTGCGTTAGATAACTACATTATTATAATCATCATGACTCACATTTCTCTGTTCTATAACACTTAACCAGCAACCCCCTGAAGTAAGTAGTAGAAGGCCCAGAGACTTTTAAAATGTTTTTTGGGTTTATTTGTTTTAACAAAAAAATTTAAATATTATAATTTACAAATTATAATGGTTATAATAATTAAACGTATAATTAACATTGTTTATAATAATCTATAAACATGATCATTAAATGTAATTATTAATCATTTCCTTATACATACTTCACCTCACTCCCCATGGATCTCTCCCTTATTAAAAACAACAGTTAAACAAAAACCAGCCAACATGACCTCGACTAACAGTGTACATAATGTGTCCTGCCCAAAGTGTTCCACCTCTCTGCTGAGAGGAAGTATTTTCAATTAACTATTCTCTACAACCAAGCTTGTTCATTGCAATTAAACTGAATTCAACAGCTTTTTGGTTTGCTTTTATTCATATTATTATAATCATACTTATAATGTTATTCTAGTTCTGCTTTCTTCACTCTGCATCAGGTCTTCCCATGTTTCTATGAATTCTTTCTTATTCTTCATTCCTCATGTAATAATAATAACAAGGAGGAGGATAATTAGCACTTACATATTGCTTTAAGGTTTGCAAAGCATCTTACATACATTATCTCATGAGGAAACTGAGGCAGACAGGGGTTAAGTGATTTGCCCAAAGTCACACAGCGGATAAGTATCTGAGGCTAGATTTGAACTGGTCTTCCTGACTCCAAGCCCAGCTCAGTATTCGCTGTGGGCACCCACTTTGTTCCCTATTTTTTGCTACCACAAAAGTGCCGCTGTCCATTGGAAACAAAGTAGGTGCCCATCGATTGAAGAATGGCTGAACAAATTGTGGAAAATGTGATTTATGCACATAATGGAATTCGTGACCACCATAGGAAATTACCAATATGAGCAATTCAGAGAGGCATGCAAAGATGAATTGATACAGAAGGGAGTAAGCAGAATTAGGAAAACAATACACCTGATGTAAATGGCAAGAACGACAACAGAAAGAAACCTAACGCTGAACAGTGAATAATTATAATGACCAAGTCTGTCCTCAGGGAAGAGACAAGAAAATGTACCTCATTCCCTTCTTTGCCAAGGTGACAAAGTGTGAGTATAGAACGTTGTACTGACTGTCAGAATCAATTGATGTTCTGGTTAGCTTTGCTAATTTGCTGTTTTTTCTTCCTTTTTCTCTCTTAAACTTTTCATTAGGCAGGGAAAGAGGGGTGAATATATTCAGAAATGAAAGTACTGTGAAATTAAAAGATATCAATAATATTTTTAAAATTAATTTTTAAAAAGAGTACTGTTATGAAGGTTAAGTTACCCCCCCATCTCCCAACTCTGGACATTTTCACAGGCTCTCCTTCATTCCTGGAGTACTCTCACTCCTCATCTCCAACCCCTGGCTTACCTGGTTTTCTTCACGTCCCAGCTAAAATCCATCTTCTATAGGAAATCTTTCCTGATCTCTCTTCATTTTAGTGCCTTCCTTCTGTTGGTTATGTCCTATTTATCCTGTATATAGCTTGTATAGTTGTTTGCATGTTGTCTCCTCCATTACATTGTAAACTCCTTGAGGGCAAGAACTGTCTTTTCCCTTTCTTTGTATCCACAGAACTTAGCACAGTGCCTGGCATATAGCAGGTAATGTCTGTTGACTGACTTTGTCAGGGTCACACAGCCCACAAGAGAAGATGCTAGGATTCAAAAGCTCCTGACTCAAAGTCCATTTCTCTCTTCACACTATACTACCATCTCTATCCATTCATTTGGTTCTGCCATTTTTAATTGTCTTATCCAATAAGCAAAAACTCTACTTTGAAGATATAAGAACTAATTCAATCACGATAGCAAGGAAGGAAAGTATCATCCACCTGTGTAACGGAAGAACTCTGCTTTTGTTCCTAGACCAAGATTTATAACAAAATCATGCATCTTTCTACATCCAACCTGTCCATGGGAGAAATGACTGCCGGACAAATCTGTAATCTGGTCGCCATTGACACCAACCAGCTCATGTGGTTCTTCTTCTTGTGCCCAAACCTCTGGGCCATGCCTGCACAGGTAAGAGCTGAGAGGTCATCACTCTCTGGGAGTCACACCCAAGTCTTCCCTCTTACATTCCAGAGCCTCATATTTGGCCTCTGCCTCAGCCTTGTGTGTCCCCCCTCCTCTGCAGGCTGTAGTCACCACTATCACAGATAGCATCACGATTCTTAGGCCCTTAGAGATCATTTAGTTTAACCACTCATTTTACAAAAAAAAAAAGAAATTAAGCCCATTTGAGTGAAGTGACTTGTCTAAAGTCACGTAGAACTCCAATCCAAATCTCCTGATTCCAAGTTCAATGCTCTCTTTCCACCACTGCCCAAATCTTTTCTGTGATCCCATCTCTCACCCCTGCACATACCATGATTCAGTGCCTCCCTTTCTTATTGCACAGAGATGGCAGTCTTAAAAATGCAGCTGATATTTAGAAAGGCCTCCTGAGTCAACAAAGTGACTTGCTAAATCAAGTGCGTGGCTTTGTCAAGATTAGTTCATGCCAGTCTAACCGGACTTCTCTTTTTGACAGGGTTATTAGACTGGTAAATCAGGGAATTGCTGTAGGTAGAGTTTACTTTCATTTTTGCAAAATGTTTGATAGAATCTCTCATAGTATTAAGAGGGACTGATGCTGGTACGGTCGATGCAGAGGGAGATGAGGCTCCTGACTGAAAGATCTCAGAGCAGATGCTATGTATCTGCATAGGGACAGATACTTTAGGGAAAGGGTTGGAGAGAGATCATAAAGAGAGGCAATTGTCTCCCTCTCTAAACTTAATGCCAAAGTCACTAAGATGCCCTTTAGGAAAACTGCCCCAGGTTTGAAAGGGATCTTTCCCACTTTTTTTTCTAGAGAATCATCCTTTATAACAAAGAGTTAGAAAAAGGAAAAACTAATTCAGCAAAACTAACCAATATATCAAAAAGTCTAACATGTAGTATTCTATACCTATAGCCCCCTAACTCCAAGGTCTGCTTTTTCTCATCTTTGAGGTTAAGTTTGGTCATTATAATTGTACAACATTCAGTTTCATTCTTGTTGTTATTCATGTTTACAATAGTTGTAGTCATTGTATTTACTATTTTCCTGGTTCTGCTTATTTTGCTCTGAATCCATTCATATAAGTCTTCCTATGCTTTTCTGAATTCTTCATATTCATTGTTACAGCACTGTATATTCCATTGTATTCATGTACTTCATTCTGCGTTGGTTCATATGTCTTCTCATCTCATGGCATTCTTGTGGACAAGATGAGGAGATACGAGCTAGATAATAAGTTGTGTACAGCTTTGTTGACAAACATTGCAAGAATAGAGGATAAAATGAAAAGAGTTGTTCCTAGCACTGTCCTTTGCCCCATTCCCTGCAAGTGTTAACCCCATGCTTCTGGAATTCACACCCAGTGACAATATTGTCTTTGGTGTGGGCCATCTGGACCCTTGGAGGAGGACAGATTTTGAGGAGCAGGAGCAAAACTTTGGAAGAGTGGGTATGAACCAGGAGACTAAGAATGGAGGTTGTATGATCATCTCTTAGCTGTGGGATCCAGGGGATATAGATGTCTGTGTCATCACAGCAAGGATAAGTGATAGAACATTAGCCAAATGCTCAGCTTGGTGGAAGAGACGGGCTGCAGAGCAGATGCCCTGTTGTTAATGACCAGTCTGGGATATGGGCATATGGCTGATACTCCTGCTAATATCCCTGCTAATTTCTGATGTCTGGTCTGTTGGTCACATAATTGTTTCTCATTGTGGACAGAACCAGTGAAGCAGACCAGGGAACAGAGGCCGATGGAGGTTTTCTGGAGGAGGTGATGAGGGATTAGCAGAGCAGGCAGGGTTACGTTCCCTTTTAATGAGCTCTCCCAACCTTAGGTCATTAACAATGTGATAAAGTGATTCTACAAAAGACTATTAGTTAAAGCCAGTGACAGTTTTGTGATTAGTGAGAATGGAAGAAATCTCTGCTAAGCTCCTAGAGGAAATAAGTTACTTACAATTACTAAAGTTTGAGGTTACTGAGCAGTGGACCTCAGCTTCCTTTTCTCTATAAGCGGCCATTAGGTCTATATGTATCTTCTAAAACAAGACACATGCTATAAGGACCTCGATTTCCAACACAAAAGCTCTATAGTCTTCTCTCTGAGCTAAAAGCTTTGGGCCTTGGTGGGAACCATTTGCATTTTTCATAAATATTCATGAGCAAGTCATCATTTTCCTAAGGTCTGAGAATAGGACAATTCTCTTTTCTGAAGTGATTCACCAGATTCATAAAAATACTAAATATGCCAGGAAAAGAAAAATGAACAGTAACAACTCAGTATATTGAATTGATTTTGTGAATAAATATGGATGGGGGGGTGCTTCAACCATTGCTGTGCCCACCTTGGACATTACACAGACCCTTAAAGTAAAATGACCTAGTGCACTGAACAGTTGCCTTAAAGGCTAAAGTTTGAGTGACTTGGGGTACCCACCTCCCCCACAGCAGTCCACAAGGGACTGGCTGACAATGTCTCTCAACTTAACACTATCTACTATGTGGTAACCAGGTGATAGGAATGGGAGTAAGGGGTATTGTTCTGTCTGTCCTGCCCCTTACTAATTGTGGGATCCTGTCCCTCAGTTTACCCAAGTGGCAATAGAACTGGTTGGAATTAATAGTAAGGCCAGCCTTTTAGAAAAATGTAAAAATTGCCCAGTCTATGAATTTTATCAGTCTTCTACCTGGACTGGAGGTGGTCGTGTTTGATTCTTGGCCCCGAAACATCCCATCACTTAAAGGGTTAAACTGAGAAAGGAATAATTCTGAAGGCTCAAATTGCAGAGTAGTCATCATGCCCTTCGATTTTTATGAAACATGAGAAGACTCCAGATGAAGCCTTAGCGCATTTGTTGACGGGTCACTGGAGGATTCTGGGCTTTCTTTTCTTGGAGGTTCAAGTCAGCCTCTTACAGGAAGGCTGTCCTGATCTCCTTAGTTGTTACTGCTATTTCCTTCCTCAAAGTAGATTATATTCTTCTGTTTAAATATATCTCTAGTAGAATATAAGCCCTCTGAGGGAAGGGATCATTTTTCTTTTTGTCTTTGTATCCCCATTGCCTATAGCAGTTGCTTACACATAGCAAGCCCCCAATCAACATTGGTTAAAGCTTTGGGGTGCAAGCACTGACCCTAGAGTCAGGGGCCCTGGGTTCAAATTCCACCTCTAATGCTTACTGCTGGTTTGGGCTTGGGCAAATAATTTAACTACCCAGGGCCTCAGTTTCTTCATCTATAAAATGAGCTTCAGAGATCCCTTTCAGCTCTAGATCCAGGATCCTGCTAATTGAATGTGTCTGTCCTTGATCTCCCTAGATCATCGTGGGGGTGATTCTTCTCTACTACCTCCTTGGGGTCAGCGCCTTAATTGGAGCAGCGGTCATCATTGTCTTGGCTCCTATCCAGTACTTTGTGGCTACCAAGCTCTCCCAAGCCCAGAGAAGCACATTGGTGAGCGCCTTCAGTCTGCCTTCATCTCCCCTTCACCCATCCTTCCCTGCCCGAGTCTTCTCTCTCCTCAGGCACCGCTGATGCTCCTTCTCTGCTAATTCTTCCTCCCCGTCTCTCACTGAACCTTCGTTGAACCATATAGTAGAGAATAGAGGCAAAGCTAGGATACCCTCTGGATGTCCTTTTCCTGACTCAACCCATCCACAAGCATGATATATCCCAGGAAGAAACCTTTGTTTCACCAGAAGTTTACAGGAATATGAAGGGAAATCATAGGGTTGCATTATAGCCCATCACCTCTCAATTAACAATAGCTAAGATTTATGTAGACACTAGCTGTGTGACTCTGGTAAATCACTTGACCCTGTTTGCCTCAGTTTCCTCATCTGTAAAATGAGCTGGAGAAGGAAATGGCAAGCAACTCTTTGCCAAGAATACCCCAAATGGGGTTACGAAGAGTCACACATGACTGAAATGACTGAACAACAGATACGTTGACTTTCAAGTTTATAAAGCACATACATAATACATAATATAATATATGTGTGTGTGTATAATTTTATACCCTAATGACAACCTTACGAAGTAGGTAATGTTGCTGTCCCAGTTTACATATGGAAGAACTGAGGCTAAGAGAAATTAAGTGACTTGCCTTGGGTCGCGCAGCTAGTAAGTGGCTGAGGCTGGATATGAACTCAGATCTTCCCGATTCCAAGTCCAGCCCTCTATCCACTGCAGTGCCCAGCTGCTTCTACAATGCCTAGCTCTCCCCTAGAAAAATGTCGAAATGATTTCCCCAGATTCTTTAAGGCATTCTCTTGCCACTGCAATCCCAAGACTTCTTCTCTTCCTTGTCATCTCACAGGTGGTCCAAGTCCCAGTTAGTAAACCAGACAACACTGAGCTTCTACTGTGAGTTCAGTCTTGTGCTAGGTCTACCCAAGGGGATATAGAGAAGTGGAAGACATAGTCTCTACTCTCTAGGAGCTTGTGATCTAGTTGGGGAAACATACACAAAAACTCACACATAAATCAATTAACAATATAAAACAGAACGAGAGTCAATGTTAAAGCCTCACATTTATAAGAACTCACATGCACACTTCACTTTAAGGCTTCCAAAGGTTTCACAATGATCGTACGAGGTATATGATGAGGTATATACTTCATTGTTGCCCCATTTTACAGGTGATGAAACTGAGGCTTCGAAGGGTTAAGTGACTCTCCTAAGACTACACAGCTAATAAGTATTAGATCAAGGACTTCTGAATCTACAACCAATGTTTTTTCCAAAGTTCTGCCAAGTTTCCTCCACAGGAAGGGCCAGAGGATCAGTGAAAGTCAGAGTAGAAGGTGGAGGCCTCATGGAGGAGATGGCGCCTGGTCTGGATTTTGAAGGACAGATAGGATTTGGATAGGCAAAAAGAAGAGAAGGAGGGTGTTCCAGAATAAGAAGGACCAGGATGAGCAAAGGCACAGAGGTCAGAGTTTAATTCAACAAAATTTTAATTAATAGACATTTACTGAGTGCTTTCCACATGCGAAGCCCTGTCCTAGGTGCTGAGGGAGATAAACAAGAATCAATGAGCACAGCATCCCTGCCCTCATGGAGCTCACAGTCCTCAATAGGATGTAAGCTCTTTCAAAGCAGAGACTGTTTGCTGTTTGAATTTGTATCCCCAGTGCCTGGCACAGTGACTGGCACATAGTAGGTGCTTAATAAATGCTTGATGGTTGATCAGTAGTAAGGGAGGTCAAACATGTAAACAAATAAACATTGTGCTGAGTCAAGGGTGATAAGAACTGAAAAGAGAATGGGTATGTGTTCATTCAGAAACTAGAGAGATCCCTTCTGCCTGGAGAAAGAAGGAAAGGATGGCTTTCTGGAAGAGGAGGAGGAGGAGAAGGAGGAGGCAGGTGATCTAGGCCTTGATGGATGGGGAATATTTCAGCAGGTGGAATGGGGAGGGCATAATAGGTAGAACGAATGGGTTAAGCAGAGGCTGGAATCAATCAACAAAAATTTGCTATGTGTGTACAGACTACGTGACAGGCTCTCGGGTTATAAGTAAAAATAATGAAAAAAAATCCCTATTTGCAAGAAGTTTATATCCTATAGGTGAAGGCAATAATACTAACCATAGATGGAACAAATAAAAAGAGAAAAGGCAAAAAATAAAATACTAAATCATTAAATACAAGCTAATTTGGGGGGAATCGGGAATAGTTTTATGTAGAAAGACATTTTTAAGGAGCTGAGTCTTGAAGGAACATAATGTACATGAAAGGGATGAGGCTAGAAAGGTTGGTTTGAACCCAAGCATGGAGGACTGCATCCAGAAGGCAGCAGGGAACAAACCATTAAAGGTTGTTGAGCAAGGGAGCTCACGATCAGAGCTTCAACTTGGTAGTAGGGTCTGATTAAGGAGATTGGGGGAGAGGCAGTTGAAGAGCAGGGGATGGAGACTAGGTGCAGAGGAGTCCAATTAGGAGGCTTTTCTGTGGGAAGAGAGCATTGGCACAGGGGACTGACTCTAACATATGTACCCCTAGACTCACTTCTAGTCCATCTGAAGCAGGAAAATTGGAGCAAGCTGCTGTTCATGATTTCCATGTGGGTGGGCTCTAGGAACCAGAACCTCTGAGCTGTAGCATCCACAGAACCCCTGGATTGGGGTTTTGGTCCTGCCACTGATTTACCCCTTGACTTTGAGCAAGTCAATCAATACTCCTTACTGGCTTCACTTTCCTCATCTGTTGACAAAGGCTTAATCGCTGCTCTTCTTGTTTTGAGAATCATTTGAAATGATTATGTGTGGAAAATTAAAGCATCATCTAGTTGTGAGGCCCCAAATGTAAAAGTGAATGTAATGCAATCTATATCAAATTGCTTGTCATCCTGTGGAGGGGGGAGAGAGAAAAAATTTGGGACTTGAAAATCTTATAAAAATGAATGTTAAAAATTGTCTTTACATGTAATTGAAAAAGTAAAATACTATTTTTAAAACATTAATGTAATTAGGACCCCATAGCTGTGGAGACTCTGTGATGCCCATAAACTGCCTGTCCTTTTCAAAGAGAACGAAAGGGAATAAGCATTTATATAGTACCTACCATGTTCCAGGCACTGTGCTAAGGACTTTTTACAAATATTATTTCATTTGATCAATAAGTCAAGTAATCACAGCATTTATTAAGTGTTTACTATGCACCAAGCATAGATCTAAGCCTGGGGTGGGGAACCTGCGGTCTCAAGGCCACATGTGGCTTTCTAGGCCCTTGACTGCAGCCATTTGACTGAGTTCAAATTTTACAGAACAAATCCTTTTATTAAGGGGATTTGTTCTGTGAAGTTTGGATTCAGTCAAAGGACTGCACCCTATTCTAAGCACTGGGACTACAGAGAAAGCCAAAAACAGTCCCTGCCCTCAAGGAGCTTACATTCTACTCGAGGAGGAGGTATGTACATAAATAGGTATATAAGATTCATAGGGAATAGATGGAAAGTAACCATAGAGGGGAAGGCTCTGGGTAGGGCAGGAAGAAGGATCAGGAAAGGCTTCCTGCAGAAGATGGCATTTGATCTAAGACTTGAAGGAAGCCAAGGCATGAAAGTGATAAAAGAGAGCATTCCAAGCATGGGGGCAGGCAGCCAATACAAAGACATGGAGATAGGAAATGCAGTGTGGCTCAAGGAATGGCAAGTGGGCTAGTATGACTTGAATAAGGAAATTCTCAGAGGGGAGTCATTTGTAAGAAGACTAGACAGACAGGAAGGGCTTCAAATGCCAAACAGGAGTTTTTATTTTACTGGATCCCAGGGGTAATAAGGAGCCCCTGAAGCAGGATGAGTGGCAGGGGCGGGGAGGGTGAAGATGACACGGGCAGACTGGCTCCCATCTAACTCCATGTGAATCTGGCAGGAATATTCCAATGAGAGACTGAAAAAGACCAATGAAATGCTCCGGGGGATCAAACTTCTCAAACTCTACGCCTGGGAAAACATCTTCCGTGCTCAGGTGGAGATGACTCGTAGGAAGGAGATGACCAGCCTAAAGGCCTTCGCCGTCTACACCTCCATCTCCAGTAAGTCACAGAATCACAGGATTTCTGAGTCAGGAGCTCAGCAACCACGTAGTCTAACCCATCCCTGAAAAATCATCTCTGCCAGGACATGGCATTGATGATCATAGCCTGTATTTATATAGCACTGTACAGCTATCCCCTTGGATCCTCACAACTACTTGGGAGGTAGGTGCTATTATGATCCCCATTTTACAGTGAAGGCAACTGAGGCAGGCAGAGGTGAAACAACTTGCCCAGGGTCACACAGCTAATATGTCTGAAGCAAGATTTGAACACAAGCCTTCCTGACTCCAGGTCCAGCCTTTAATCTACTGTGCTGCCTACCTGCCATCATTCCTGGGATATATTGAAAACTACATTCCTATATAGTCATCATTGTCCCCATTTCTTCTAATGGGGAAACTGAGGCTTTAGAAATGGAAAAGAAATTCAATCTCTCCTCATCATCACCACTATCCCACTCCAGCCAGCCTGAAAGGAGTTGCCCTCCCCCTGGGTAAAACCACTTCCTGGACCACTCTGAAGTGAAAAAGATTCAGTGTGAAGCACCTAGTAGGTGCTTAATAAATTTTGGGGGGGGAATGAAAAGTGGGCTTCTTGTGAGGGGAGCTGGGCTCTTGGGTCAGGCTTGGAACAAGTATAAAGACCTGCCTCAGGGAGGCAGCATGGTCAACCAGCCAACTGGAATATATTAAGTGCCTCCTATGTGCCAGGCAGCACTGGGGAGACAAAGAAAAGCTAAATAATGAATAAATAAATGAATGAACGAATAAAACAAAATAAACACTCCAGCCCCTGCCCTCAAGGAGCTGACAGTCTAATGGCACAGTGCAAAGAGTACTGAGTCTGGAATCAGAGCACCTGGATTGAAATCCTGCCTTTCATAAATACTAGCTGTGTGACCTTGGGCCTCGTCTATAAAATGAAGGGACTAGACCAAAGAGTCTCAGAGGTCTCTGCTGACCCCAGGTTTGTGAGCCTAGGACCTAAGTTGCCCACTAGCTGCTGATCTTTATTGTTAGGGAGAGTTTAGTTTGGGGGAACTCCCTCCCCTGATGAAATCCCAGGTCTAGATCTAAGGTATGGAGTAGGGAAGATTGGCATAAAGGGGAGAACATTGGACCTGGGTTCAAAGGACCTAGGTGATCTCAGATAAATCACTTATGACCTTTCTGGACCCCAAGTTCCTCATATGTAAAACAAGGAGGTTGACCAGCTGAAATCTCAATATCTCTTCCAATTCAAAATCCTATGAAAACCATCTGGGGCAGAGGAGATTCTGGGAAAGTAGATGACTGTTCTAACTCAATCCCTCAGAGACATGGTGAGGAGCAGGGGGTCAGTAGACCAGGCATCAGTGCTTGTGGGGGTGGGCTATGAAAGGACTTCAGGGGAGTGGGAAAAGTTAGGTTTGGGTCGGGGCTTAGGAAACAGTCTTTCATTCAGTGAGGCACGAATAACCAGGACTCTGGATAGAAGGGGATGGGGGAGGGCTCAGGTAGGTATGGGAGAAGGGAGGAAGGAGGGACATTACTTGGATCTCTGAACATCTGGGAAGGGAACCTGCTTTGGCTTCTGAGGCAGCTAATGAGGCCCAACAAATCAAACTAGTGGTGTGGGAGATGGAGGGAAGAGAAGGAAGGAAAGCTTTAAAAATAAAATGTTATTTGTTCAGTATATTTGCTCTGGCCCACGTGTTTCTGTTGCACCACATTGAAAAGGTAGTGGGAGGGAATACGGAGGGAGGGAGATGCCCTCTGGCTGCTGGTGTCTCCCTCTAATGCCTGCTTTTCTCTTTTGGTGCCACACACACACACACACACACACACACACACACACACACACACACACACACACACACACAC